AATGGACTGAATACACACAGCCCTGACACAGTGTGTGTGTGTGTGTGTAGGATTTGTGTGGAGAAGGGCGGGGCAGGGGGGGCACATATGTCTAACCATGTGTGCAGGGAAGTGCTTTGCTTGATTCCAAAGCCTGGGAATGTGGCCTCCTTTTCACCATTGGCCTGTGAGGCTTATTTGACATGAGGAAGCTCTCAGTGTGGCAGAATCCTTCATATCCTCTCTGCTCTGTCTTCTTCTCTGACGTCTATTCATCTCCCTTTCTCTCTCTCTATACTCCTGGCCCTTTTTTCTTCCCTCAACCCTCAGTCTCAGGCTGCCTTTTTGAGGTGAATAATATTCAGCCTCCCTCCGCTGAGAAATCTGCTTAGTCCAGCAAAAACAAGGTGAAATATTCAGACGGGAGCTGTTGGCCAAATCAAGTCGAGCTGAAATTTGAGAACCAGACTTCCAAGTGCATGCGTTTTTCTTTTCACCAATACAGATATATTGTCACTTTATTTGCTATCACTTAATAGCAAAAAAAAAACTATTCTCCCAGTAGCCAGTTACATACAGTATTTATTTTCTTATTCATGAGCTGGTCGTGGGGAAGTGCTTATGCATTTTTAAAGATGAAGTCTATAGAACGCACAAGAGGGAAAATACCATCAGGCCTCCAACCCTTAGAGCAATGGAGCGTCCTGAAGAGAGAAACTGCCCGGAGGATCAGCTGCAGTTCATGGAGGCTCATTGAAACTGCTTTGTGCTGATATAACAAAAATGTTTATATTAACAAAGGTGCCATGAATACTTACGTAATGGGGTCGCATGTAGTGATGATCACACAGAGAAATATGAGCTGACTCTGCAGTTTGCCTCAACTCTCTGGAGCATTTTGGCATCTTTTAGCTCATTCTTTAGGCTTTATAGTTCAGGCTGCAACTTAATAATGTTATTGAAGGCAGATTTTCATTTAGGTGAGTGCTCTGGTTGTTAGCGGAATGGAGCCATTGTTAATGTTATTTCTTACACCTGTGCTTTTCCTTCTGTGACAATTCAGTATCTGTGAAAAGGGTCTAATGCAGGCTTAAAACATCATTACAAAACAAGGAGGACTTTGTGTATCATCTCCCCCCAAGGCTTATTAAGTTCATCTCTGAAAGGGTGTCTTTTTTCTGATTCAAATATTCTAAAATAACGTTATCTTGTTCTTTAGTTTGACCTTCAGTTCTTCAGTGAGTTCCTGCTCTGGACATCGGTTTGATTCATCACATTATTTTAATGTCACTGATTGTGATTTTCCGCAATAGCTGACCTTTGTCAGATGACATATCGCCTGATATCCCTTCATCACAAACACATAGCCACTCTGTTTTCTTTCCAGCTGAAATACGTCAAGTATCAAGTGTTTGTGCAAAATGGGCCTCTGGTTTCTTTTCTTTTTTTGTCTGTAGAAGCAGTTGTGATGTTTAGCAGCTATCATGTGCCCTATTGTGCGTTGTCTCCTCTTTGTCATGTGACCGACAGAGAGCCTGCCGCCCTCAGTAACTCTATCAAACACAGAGGCATTGAGCAAACTGTCAGTTCCTCATCCCATGATGTGTTGATTGAGCAACGTACTGAATGTAAAGGAGGTGTACAGTGGACGCCCGCTTTATTTCGGACTGCTTGAAGAGAAGTGAAACCGTCAGCTTGGAGCTGGAGGCCCTCCATCCCTCTGGCCCAAACTGCTCCAGAAATAGGGCCTGTTTTTGTAAGAAGATCTATCCCAGTGATGCAGCCACCTCCTCCTCCCTCCCTGACTTCTCCCAGTGAGCCTCGGCCGGGTCTCTGAAGTGGAGAGAAGTGTCAGTTATGTGATTAGAGAGTGTGTTAAACTTATTTTGAGATGTAGGAAACATGATGTCTGTAGTTAACCTCCATGGTTTTACATTCAGAAGGGGAGGTACTGAATTAAATGTTGAGGCCTTGAACTTCTCAGATTGATATATCCTGCAGCCTGGCTTATCAATGATGGAATTTATTATTATTTTCCACAGGAAATGATAATAGTTTGGTTTTCTTAATCTTGATAAATGAGCAGCATTATGACATTTGCATGTTTGGCTAAGGATGAATCTTAGGGCTGGAGTCAAACTGGATTTTAGATTTGATCCAGAGCGAATTGTGGAGAATGTTGTGCCATATGTTAGGAACCTTTCATTCACATCTGCTTATGTAAGAGACAAATGTGTTTCCTGTTTGATTTTGAAGTTCCTGTTTGTCCCATTGATGGAGGATATCTATTGTGTTCAACAGTCTACAAAATGTCTCCGCACTCAAATCATTGTCATGAATAAATGGTGTTGTGATAGCTCTGATATGATATTGCTGCCGGTTAACTCGACAACAGTTGTGCAGTGGGGAATGACGGAGAGTTGACAGAGGGGAGGGCGGTTATAATGTGGGAGTTGTTGCTGAAATCCATCTGTCAAGTGAGCATTAAAGGCTTCTCCCAGAGGGATGACAAGTTGTTGCTGTGCAGTTTATTCTAAGCCTCTTTGAAACATTGTTTCATGGGTATAAACAACTCTGTCATGTGTCAAGCAGGTTATTTCCCTCTGAGATTCTTATAATTAAAGATTTGTAGATAAAAGAATGAAATGGATGTTGATAACGAGAGCAGGAAACGTCTTACATTTGAAATCCTTACTTGTGCTGCACATTTTTGGGTAATTAAAACCAAGAAGCACGAATAAAATCCAGGACTATGTATCAGGAATGCAGGGTTTGAGTGAAGCCAATAAAGGGGTGCTATTTGAGGGCGTTTGGACGACCCCGAGGGAACCGGAGAGCAGATGAGGGCAGGGAAAGTGAGAGGAAGCCGTCTGGGAGCAAACCATGTGTTAGAGCCGGGGGGGGGGGGGGGGGGGGGGGGGGGGGGGGTGGTGTCTAAGGTGTCACAGTGTCCTCTTCTAGCTTCGTTATTTTACTATATCTGCCATTTTTATTGTTAATGTAATCATACTACATTGATTGTGGTATAGCATTACAGACATAGTGTTATCTCCTTCACTTTTCTCTCTATAGTCAGGTAATACAACGATTCATCATACCTTTGTTTGTTGTCACCACTTCTGCCTTTTTTCACTATACAGTGTTGTGCTGCTTGAACCTCTAACAGGGTCGCTTCATCATTCCAGTCTCATGTATTATCGTTCAGTAAAAGTACACGTTATAGTGGTTTCAAGTGAAAGGCACAATCTTGTGCACACTATACGTCTGCCATATGTTGCCGCTGCAGTGAGTAAATGTACATTTTATTTGATCATGTCATCTTATATGATGAAGTATTGCAGAGAGTAAGGCTCTCTTGACAGTCGGTGAGCACATCAACCAGGCACTTTGATTAGCTTTTCTTGGCTCGCACACGTTCAGACTGCTAATGTGAGTCTGATTGCCGGAGAGACGGCCCCTAAGGTGTTGGAAGTGAAAATGAGAGCAGCGTTTAGTCACTTCACAACCTCCGTTCTGCCGGTCAGCGTCACTGCTGACTGCTGTTATCTTTTCACCTTCAGAGACACATGGTGCTAAGGTCATAATGTTACACACACAACACAAACAATTGTTTTATTATAAACTAAAGCTGCATCTCTTGAAAGTTATAATTTTGTGATTCCAAAAATATCAATGGCCACCTTTTTTAGTGAATGAATACCCTTTCAGCTCTGCGGTTGTGAACGTGATTGTTTTATTTATCCTTGTAGCTGTGTGTAATGTGCGACTTTTCATTTGCTTTTTACCAAATGAGTCTCCAGCTGGCAACCTGCTTGCCGATCAAACACTTTTTTTTTGTTTTAACAGACTGTATTATTACTCGTAACATCACACACACTCGTCTGCAGTGACGCCTCTAAGCATTTCTTAATGTGCTGTAATGCTGCCACCGCCACAGTAAAGGCCATGAGGGAAAGGGGAATTTTCCAGGGTTAAGTTTTAGGTTGAGGTCTTGTTTATAGCTTTTAAAAATGGCAACCCACCCTGGACTCAGCACACACACACGCTGTCAGGTATGCACAGTGGCAGTGTGTATTCCTGATGTGGTGACTGCAGAGAGGTGTGGCTCCCCAGTGACCCGCAGCTAACCAGATGATTATACAGTAACTCTGTTTCATTGGTTTCATTTGACTGACCACCATCACTTTGACACTATTCTGGTCAACAGTAACTGTATGAGAGGCGCAGTGGAGTATCTCTGTAATCTAATACTCTCTAATATGACTTCTGGGAACAAAAGTCCTCCCCGCTATCCAGTTCTTCTCTCTAGGTCTGTCAATATTACTACTTTCTGTCTCAGAAATAATTGCAATGAATATATAATAGCACGATAACGCAAGTACACTGTTTTCAAAGACCAATGCACTTGTAATACTTAAGAATATTACAATATTACAAGTTAAATGTGGAAATATACAGAAAAATCAAACATAATTATTTACCAGACTCTCTGGCTCTGTTAACAAAAATATACAACACTTGCACAATGCCCAAATGTTTTAACAATAAATATTGAGGTCAGCAATTATGAGGGATATATTGTTTGTTAAGTCAATGCCATTGAAATGATTTAAATGATATGTAAAATAATGTAATTTAATCATGATCTAAGTTTCTGTCTGTAAACATTAGTTGCTCAGAACTTAGCTTCTCATAAACGCCTCTTTCATTTTGTTTTTTTATCTATTTAACCAAAAATGATTCAAACTACAGTACATCTACACTATGAACACCTTTGGGATTTCGACTGCTTTTTTAAAACAAATGGATTGTGTTGTTGTTGAATGCCAAGAAAATGATTTACCTTTTGTAATAATGACATGCTGCTTCAAATATCCCACACAAGACTCACAACAACATGTTTCAGCTTTTTATAAAGGAGACTTCCAAAAGAACATTTAGTAACTGGATCTCTACACCCTCTCTCTTCAGTCAATAATTACAATATTTAACTGGCCTCTCCTCCTGTCCTCTCTCCACAGTGAACAGAGTATCTGCCAGGCGCGGGCCTCAGTGATGGTCTACGACGATGCCAGTAAGAAGTGGGTGCCCATCAAGCCCGGGCAGCAGGGCTTCAGCCGCATCAACATCTACCACAACACTGCCAACAACACCTTCAGGGTGGTGGGCGTCAAACTGCAGGACCAGCAGGTGAGAGGACAATAATCAGTATCACACTCCTTCTGATGCCATGACTTTAGAGCTACATTAAATATGGGTTCAATTACATTAATTAATTTGGTTAATGTACAGCGTCCGTATTTGTTTTTTTTACAGGCATTCAAATATATTGAAGCTTTTAGTAAAAATCTTCCCCATTTGTTAATACTACCTGGTGGTTGGGTACATGTTATCAAAAATAACTTGTATTAGGCAATTGCAGTAGCAAAAACAGTTGAGTCTTCACAGATACAATGTGTTTTGAGGTCTGTGCAGACATTTTAGGATGAATTGGATCTAATCTGTTATGCTGATGCTCATTGTATGTGATGACACATACAACAGCTGAAATGTGTCAAATAATACAAATGTAACTAAGCTGCTAAATTGATCCATATGAGTGTTTTGAACTGCCTTTAGGAATATCTTAGTGATGTTACTCCGAATATCATGTATCACCATACATTCGGAGACATGTGAGGATGCATTTGAGTTACATTTCGATTTACGATTTACGATTACGATTTTCTAACTTCTAAGTTACCCTTAGAAGTTAGAAAATCGTAAAGTGTAGTGTACCAGAGGACAAAAATCAGGTAAAATGTTGGGGAGAAACTAATAAGAATCTTGAAACCCCAACTGCTGAATAACGTTGAGTTAAATACTTAATCACGGGTTGTCAACAGCCTTTCTTCCTCTATCGGTGACCAGCCAGCTGCACGTTATTAAATCATATTTTAACTCACAGCTTCATTTCTCTTCCCCTGTTAAAGGTGGTCATCAACTACTCCATAGTGAAGGGTCTGAAGTACAATCAGGCCACCCCGACCTTCCATCAGTGGCGTGACGCCCGCCAGGTTTATGGGCTGAACTTCGCCAGTAAGGAGGAGGCCACCACCTTCTCCAACGCCATGCTGTTCGCCCTCAACGTCCTCAGCTCACCGGACTGTGGAGGTAAGGACTTTTGATTTATCGTAAATTCATCTTTTCTGTATTTTAATGCACTCTTTTCACCGCGTTTAATCCATCCCCTTATGCAGTCACCTTCTTATATTAAAGTGCACATAAGTATTTCACTTCTTGGCAGGCAGCGAGTGGTTTTCCTGTGACATTTCAAAGTAAAATGGCTCGTCTCAGTACATCAGAGTTTTAGTTTTTGAATGTTAAACTGTTGATGGAAAATGCTGATGGAACTTTCTGGCTCAAATGACAACCGACTGTCTTTAAATCTATTTTTGCTCTCAAGAGAATGTCAGGTAACCACAATTAAATAATCAAAATAGTTTGGACTGTTTTTCCATTTGTTTTGACTACGCAAACACTGTGAAATGGAAACTTTCTCATCAATCCCTAACTCTGTTAAACAGGAAGTACGTTGCATACAGTACAAAAGGAAGATATTAAAGTAATGTATTTAAATGGCATAAACGTCTAAATTGTTTATAATATATCCACATTCAATCAACTGCAATGTTCAAACCCTCAAAGTGTAAAACTAAACTAAGCTGTCCTGCCCTCTGCTGGTTAATAACACGTACTGCAGCCTCAGACTTCTGCCAAACAATAACAGGGACTGGTTGGTTTATGACTGGAATTTGCTTTCATTTAGAGCAATGTTTTGGGGTATATTTATTTTCATTACTATGCAATCATTATTTTAGTTATTTCCAGATGAACACATAACATCTCCGTTGTCTTTAGCATGCAGCACAATAAGATCTACACGATACATGCATGAAGTGTCAGCACATTTGTAGCTTTTAAACTTAGACAGATAATGATTTATGTTGGAACCCTGAAGTGTGTTTGAAGCCAAACTCACGCCTACTCTTGGTTTACTAAATACCGTCTGAGTAGCTCTGGTTACGAGCTACTTATAATCTGTGTGTGTGCATGCATAAGATGTTTAGAAAAGAATATCTCTGAGTGTTTAACTGCGGTGTCATCCCATCCTATCCTTGTGACTCTCCTATTGGTGGCTAAAATATCCCATATGGAGCCCTAATGTCGTACCCCACTGCTCACATGGCAGCCCTCCTTTATTTTGGTGCATCTGTGGGATCATGGGTCCACGTTCTAAACTACATTGCTTAAGGTGTTTCTTGCTAAAAGAGGTAGTATAGATACATATTAAGTATTGTCTTGAACTGAGTTGGCTGTGGAAAAACATGCGGACTCCAGATATTTCAGCTGGTGTGCTCAGAAGGGTTTCTTCAGCCATCATCATCCTCAGTAAGTGCTGTAGAGGAATAGGTCCACCAGCCATGCATGTTTAGCACTGTAACACAAGTTGAGTCTCAGCTATTTTCTCCCAATGAAGGAAAGAAGGTGTGTTAGGATGTGTTCAGGGGAATCCTGCATTGTTTTTGCCTGCAGTGGTGGAAAGTCACTGAAGTACTTTTACTTAAGAGAAGTTTTGAGGTACTTTTACGAATATAATGCTAGTTTATACTTCGACTCTGCTACATTTCACTTCAAAATAGTACACTTATGTGACAGCTGAGATTACTTTTTTCACTAAAATACAAAAAGAGACCTATTGTGACCTTACAAAACACGATGCATTGCTGAATATTAAAGCACTTGTTCTCAAACTTTGTTGCTATAAATCAAAATTAAAGTCAGGGAGGACTTTGATGTTTAATTTTTAAGAGAAGGTGGCAAGGTAATTGTGTCCATCTGTCTGTTTCTGTCTGTCTGCTTCCAACAAGCCTGTTGTTAGTAATCCATCATAATTTAATGTTTTGGTCTTGTGAGTGCTTAAAGAAACAACGGAGGAGTACATGAGGGAGGAATCTTTTTTTTCATCACATTAATCCAGTGTTTCTCAAAGTCCTGGGGGGGGGGGTGCAGAGGCATGACAGGGGGGGCACGAGAGACCAGGAGGAAAAATGGTTTTGAAAAAATAATAATTACTGATTCGAAAATAATATGAAACAGTACAGTACACTTACGTCTGGGTCTCTGTGTTTCATTCAAGCTCGGCTCTGTGTGTGTGTGGAACGAGCCATTTTGTGTGCGTGCGCGAGCGAGAGAGAGAGAGAGCGCACCGGTACCGGAGATCGTTGTTGTTAGCTTCTGGTGCTAGCGAGCTAGTGGCCGGGTCTCAAACGGTTTGGTCACGATTAATGTAAACAATTATTTCCGAGGCACACGTTTATATGATCATTATAGTTATAAAAAAATAAGAGAATAAATGAAAAACAGGTATGAAATACTATATGACAGTAAGAAAATCTGTTTACAGTTCTGTTTCAAATGGGTGTTGAGAGAGGTATCCATAGATCTCTTCATTTTGCTCTCAAAGTGCACCAGATTGATGCTTTTAACTTCAATATTTAAAAAAAAATCTTCCCGGGGGAGCTTGCCACCGGACCCCCCTATGTTAGGTCCACCCCCCACTTATAAAAATAGCACTTTACCCCTGCTTACACCGATATGCCGTGAGCTGATTATCGAGCCTTCATTGTAATAGTCGCGGGTACATTGTGTATTTGCGTGGGGATTGTTGCAGTAGAAGATTCCACTGTAGCGACCGGTACATTAATGGGAAACCCTACATGTTTGAGCACCCTCTATGAAACGTCAAGCTACCCCACACAGCACCCCCCAAAAGAAATCTCTGGCGCCGCCACTGAGCCTGCAACCCCGTTTTGAAAAAATGTGCAGTGCCAAACAGGCTCATTGCAGCCACTAATGATAAGACACACCTTTTTGCCAAATGTCAGCATTTTCTTTCTTTTCATTTTTTTTGCACAGATTGCAAAGTGGCAAAGTATTATAACTTATTGTTCTAGCAAAGGGATTGCACAATTGTATTATGTATTTATTTTTTTGACCACACAGAATTATGGAGCATTGTTTTATTATCACAGTGTTCTAGCAAAGTGATTTTTTTCTCACGTTCATATTGATGTATTTTAATAAATGTTAACTTGGCCCATTACGTGACTATTTATGTTGGGGGGGCCCGACTTATTTTTTTCTCCAAAGGGGGGGGCCTGACAGAAAAAGTTTGAGAACCACTGCATTAATCACACACACATACATTAGTCTCCTGAGCTCCCATAAAATACTTACAAGTCTGATCAGGCCCCCTCGTCCCCTGGGCTTCCTGTTCCTGTCTCTCCATGGCAACAGACAGCGCCTTATACCATACATCTCGTCAGCAGAATAATCACACATATGCAGGACAGCACAAAGTGATAATTGCCTCCTTCACAGCTACCTCATTAACGTCTGCAGAAGGGTTGTGAGGAGTTATGTGTGTGATTCCCTGAAGTCTCACCTCAAAACAAAACAGACAGTAGTTTTTGACCAGAGAGTCAGCAGGTGCAAGTTTCTTTCTCTTCTTGAATCATTTCTTGTAGTTGTATGTTTCTACAACAACTATTGTTGCCGGTAGAAACAGAAACAATTGAAAAACGTTGCCATGCTGATACTTGAGCTTTCTGAACAAAAGGCCTGTATTTACAAAGCCTGCAAAGCGTGAGAGGGCCTCTCTACCGACTCCCTTTCTACCGACTCCCTCTCTATCGACTACCTCTTCATTGCATTCTTGGGGATATAAAAGCTTATTCAAGAACAGGATGCTAATTTAAAATGTGTAATTAAGCCCGAGCAAACAAACTGTTATTATGTCATGTTTTGTCTTCTTTATTTGCTTACAAAGCGACTGAATATTTGCTCAATTTAATGTGCAGCTTCGCCAGCAGAGCGCTTAATTACCATGAGCTAACAAGCTGAGTCCTCAAGGAGAGAGGGAAACAAGACATCTTGCAGCCGTCACTGCTCTTCTCTGTGCTTCTCATTATAGTAGTGCAACAAAAGAAATCCAAGAACCAGGTCAGCTGAAGCCGTTTGAATGAAGCACCAGCTCCTGCATTTACCATGTTTAGGACAAAAGATGAAACATACAAGGTTAGGGTTTGAAGCAAAAGTCAAGTCAGTTTGTATTTATATGAGATAAGATGAGATGAGGTACTTTATTGATCCCAAGTTGGGAAATGTTTGCGTTACAGCAGCATAAAAAACATACAAGGCATTGCACATGAGTAGAAATTAAAGAGTATAATAAACAATGCTAGAAATTAAACATCTCAAAATAGAATTAAAACACCATTAAAAGTAGAAAATATACAGTAGATAAAAAATCTATAAACTCTGACAATAAAACACCAGCCACACTTGTCCCTTTTTGTGTTTTGTCTTGTTGTTAACTCATGAGTTATAGAGTATGGTGCAAAAGGGAGTCTCAATTTACACAAAAACGTTCATAAAACATAATGGAAAGCTCAATATGATCAAAAAAGTCTCATTTCGTGGACAAAGATTATAAAAATAGAAAGCTTGAAATGAAAGCATACAAAACATTTGGTACAAAAGGGTCTAACAAAGGTATTTTAAACATTAAACAAACTCGTTTTGATCCAGGTCGAGCTACAGTTTGTAGCCACAGCTCTGCCTCAGATTGACTGTCCCCCCCCCCCCCCCCCCCCCCCCCCGCTCTGCGACACAGCAAACGGAAATATCACCCATGGGTGTTCTTGATGTCATGGTGGGCGTCGAAGTTTAATGTCTGGTATTCTGGTGATATACGATGCTCCCTGTTAATAGCCGCTCCAGCATGAGGCTCTAACTCCGTCACTCAGCTGGAGACCGTCTGTAGTTAGTCAACAAGCAAAGTGCTAACGTTCAAGCAGCTGATAACCTGTCGACTTCTTTAGGCAACGTTGATGTAGTGACTGTAAAGCTGTTATCTTGTGTTGACAACGTGTTATTGCTCGACGGTCCCATGTGTTCTTGTTCCCTTACCTTATGTTACATTTATTTTGATTACATTCATTTGCATGATGTTTCGCCGTAATATTTCTGTTTAATCCACTCTTCCTGCTGTGGTTTACAGTTGAAATTCCTGTGGTTGGCAACATATTGAGCAAATGATGTTATAAACAGCTTGTTGGGTCTCCGGGGCGAAGTCACAGTTCCTCACATGAGGCCTGCTGTGGTCTGTTCATTCAGTAAAACACTGTTTCTCTGCCTGCTCTCGCTACTGGGACTCTTTTATATAAGCTGATTATAATTTGATAGGCTTGTTTACAGATGGAAATGTATCTCGTAATGACTCCCTGTTGATCTCGTACATATATTATACAAAGCCTTAAAGATGTTGCACCCGTGTTTAGATCTGTTCTGAATCCTGCTGGGAAAACAACAGCACATTAAAACTTCCCAGAGACTAACATTGCTTATGTTGCCCAACAAACATATTCACTTTACACCAATGTAAAACAACGAAGAAGCCTCAATAGCTTGTACCAGCAAACATTTGGCATTTCTGCTTAGTTAGTATACGACCTAAATCTCCTGTCAACTTGTTATTTCAGCATTTCATTACAAGTAAAGAAAGTAAACCCATAAAGAAGAGCTGTGGATAAGATGCTCAACTTAATAAGGAGTTCAGAAAGTGGCTGATGTGTGTTGTAATTCCTCCCTTGGTGTCTTCCAGCTCCAGTCGTCCAGCGCCAAAATGGACCTACCTCGGAGGAAAACGAGGCACAGAGGAGGTACGATTTTTATCAGCTGCAAACAAGAGCTTACATGAAGCTGTCTTTGCACATAAAAGCAAACATTAGTACATGTAGTTTACAGTTTCAGATCTTAGTGGTTATACAGCTTAACTAATTGACACAGAGTCATAAGACATGACAGCTTGAAGAGAAGTGACATGTTCCACCTGACAGGATGATGGAGCAGCACCAGATGCAGGCGCACAAGGAGAGGGAGCGACGGACGTCAGGATCAGGTGAGGCAAAACAAACACACCCACACCCAGCTATATAAACACACACACACAGACACACAGGCTGCTCTGGAGACCGACCTGGATTGTGCGCTGCATATCAGATTCTCCTAGCTGTGCAACAAAAACTGTCGACAAAGAAAGCTCACAACAAACTCCAGCTCTCAACAAAGAACCGTGCTGAGGAGCAAATTGGTATTTGCCCTGCTTTGTGTTTATTCCTTTTTAATGGAAGTTATCAATGTTTGCTAAGGAAAAGCAAACAGGCCATGTCATCATTACTAAACACCACAGATGCCAGCCCCGATGCAATAGGTTCCTGCAGGTAAACAGGCTTCCCAGTGTGGTTTGTGTTGGTGTTTCCCGCCTTACTTTCAACCAGTACCCCCCAGTCTGTACGCCCTTATGCTTTTTGATCCATGCACACATATAAATGTTCAAGTCTGCCCCTTAGAGACACATTCAGACTTAAACATCCTCCTCTGTCCCTGAGCGGCGATATCAGTTACCCCCCGTCCCTGCAACATGCTCTACTGCCATCTCTTTCTTCCAGCTACTGTTGGGGGGGGGAAATGCCATATGCTTTCTGACCATGGCTCAGTCATGTTGCATTCTGCTGCTTGTTCTTTTATGATATTTTTGATTATTTCTTATTTGCTATTTGCTTCTGTTTTTTGGATTGCTCCTGATTTTCTCATCGTTACTTGCTTGGTTGCTCAGTTGTTTGCTTTTCATTCTTCTCACGTTTTTCTCTTTTCTGTTTTCCTTTGTTTGTTGCCCTCCTTTTGTCCTCCTCTTCATCTGCATCTCCTCCTCCTGTCTCTCCTCTCTCTCTGTCTCTCCTCTCTCTGCCCATCACAGTCGTTTCCACTCTCCAATATAAAGTGTCCACCCCTCCCATCCACCCAGACACCCCTCCCGAGTACAGACAGTACAGAGCTAGCACACTGCCGCCTTCCTACGCCCGCGTGGCCTCCTCTCCTCCCTCCTCCGCCTCCTCCTCTCCCTCTCAGGAGAGAGAGGTGGGGGCAGCTAGGGACAGAGCCCAGCTCTCTTCCCAGCTCTCCACCTCGCTCGCCTCAGCCTTTTCCCCCGTCCAGTCAGGATTGGCCACCATGGGCCGTCAGATCCGTCAGATCCCCCTGTCTCCCCCCTCAGCGGCCCGCCACCTCCACCACCAGCAGCAGCAGCAGCAGCAGGACATGATGCTGCCCCCTAAACACGGCACCTGGTCCGCCTCCCAGCTGCAGCAAATGTACGCCCAGTATGCCCCCTCCGCCTCCCCTCCAGTTATGATGGCCATGCCTGTGAAGCAGGGTCCTCCCCAGCAGCCCTCCATCCCTCTGGCTCACTCCCTGCCGCCCCTGAGCACGAGGATGAAGCCCCCGCCCCTTGACCCAAACACCATGGCAGGCCATCACCAGTACCAGCACCCACCCCACCCTCACTCCAACGGCCAGCCAGACGGCTCCTACTCTCCCCACTCTCAGCATCTGCCCCTCACCCCGCAGTACTGCGAGGCGGTCCCCCTCCCTCCTCTGACAGCTCAGACAGCCCCAGGCCCCCCCCCCAGCCACCAGACCCAGTACCCATCCACCTTCCACCCTCAGCAGCAACTGCATCCACAACAACAGCAGCAGCAGCAGCAGCAGGTGTACCACCAGCAGCCCCCTTCCACCACTTCCTACTCCTCCTCCTCCTCCTCACCCCCCTCTTACAATGCCTTTCACTCTGACGGGGGCTCGCCCAAGAAGACCCCCTCCCCTGTCCCCCAGCAGGCCCCCATGGTCACCAGCAGTAAGTATGAGGAGGAGAGAGGAGGAGGAAGTCTCTCAGCAGTAGGATAGTGTATAGTGTGTGTATTGTGTGTGTGTGTGTGTGTGTGTGTGTGTGTGTGTGTGTGTGTGTGTGTGTGTGTGTGTGTGTGTGTGTGTGTGTGTGTGTGTGTGTGTGTGTGTGTGTGTGTGTGTGTGTGTGTGTGTGTGTGTGTGTGTGTGTGTGTGTGTGTGTGTGTGTGTGTGTGTGTGTGTGTGTGTGTGTGTGTGTGTGTGTGTGTGTGTGTGTGTGTGTGTGTGTGTGTGTGTGTGTGTGTGTGTGTGTGTGTGTGTGTGTGATGTGGGTCATGTGTAAGGGAAGTTATTTTCACTCTAGTAGATGCACCTCACCCATAATGCTACACAAGAGCATGAAACCCACATGTGTCAAATGCATTGAGTATGGAGCACTTAGAGCCCCGGCACACTCACAGTCCACCTTCACTTCCTCTGGCGTCCGATTAGATCTGCTCTCAGGGCCCCGTTCTCCTCATGTGGAAAACTGAATTATCCAGATATACTGTTGCACAATGGACAAATTGACATGAAACCTAAAGTGCAAAAGGGCAGGCTTATTGACTGTTAACTGGATCGTGACCCAGACCGTTTACTGTTAACCACAAACATGTACACAATAAAATGCATATTATCGCAATCACATTTCCAGATTGGAAACCTGTCTATTTCTATACATGATGAAACAACATTTCATAAAATGGAACTAAACCAGATTTAGTTTGAGAAACCATGAGCGAAAGAGGCTTAAATTCGAAACTAATTTATTTCAAATTAAATTGAGCAACGGAGCCAGAACATATGTCATTTATTTTGTATTTAATATCAATATGTGTCATTTGAACACAAAACATTTAATACATTATAAACTGAAGAACTCACTTTGCCAGAAATTGTTGAATTATACTTGACTTTAATAAACTCGACGGGTTCAGCCGGATATCTGCTCGTTAGTTAAGCTACATTTGAAGAACAGGGCCCTGGACAGTTAAGACAGAACAGTATGAATACACACTGTTTCATCCGTAAAAGTCACATTATTGTCACATGGTTTTGCAGTTGCAGGCTGTTCTGAAATCTCTCCTTGATGTTACATTAAAGGAATTGTTTTATTGTTTTATTTGGCTGCTTCTGTGCTTCAAAAGCAATGTTGCACAATGGACACTGTTAAAGGCAGTATACGAGATTCACACATGCACTTTGTGAACCACGAGTTGGAGTTTTCAAAACAAATTGCAATTGTTGACAATAATATAACTTTCATATTGCACTTAAATACATTTAAACCAATTCCTGACTTAAAAGTAGACAAATATTAACACTTTATTTAGCTGTTATGTACCAGTCAATTGTATAACCAACATCACTCTCCCTATGAAGAGCCTTAGTGTGTTAATCATTGTCAGTTTCTGCCCAGTGGCCAGCAGTTGTGTAGTAATCAGAGTTTAGGTGAGAGTGTGTAGCGGTCTTCGTACAACCTTCCAAACAGCAAGAAGGTCAACCAACCCGTACAGCCGTTAACTGATCTGGATCTGTGCCCCCCCCCCCCAGGCCCCCCTGTCTCTGCAGGTCACCCTGCCATGCTCTCTGTGGCCCCTCCTCCCGCTGCAGTGCCACCACCCATGGCTGGTCCTCCAGCTCCGCCACCGCCACCGGGCCCCCCGCCCCCTATGGCGGTGCCCCCACCAATGCCCCCTCCCCTGCCCACTGGTGGAGGGCCTCCCGGGGGCCCGCCTGGGGCCCAACTCCAAGCCTCAGGACTCGCTGCCGCACTGGCCGGAGCCAAACTACGTAAAGTCCAAAGGGTGAGCCTCCAGGGGTAGAGGGACAGTTTGAGATAGTTAGAGGCTGTCAGACGGAAAGGTAAAGCGTTGAAAGTATTTGATATGTAGTGCATAAACCTTTTATTTAAGGTGACTAAAATATGTTTTGCTGCTGCCCCCTGTTCACAGCTGTACATGCTTAAGGAGACAAAGAGTACTGTTAGTAGAAAAACTGCAACTCATTTGATAATGTGCCCTCAGGATGAGAGCAGTCCGCCTGGGTCTAGTGGCAAAAGTGACTCCAACCGGTCTAGTGGTGGTAGCGGAGGCGGGGGAGAGGGACTGATGCAGGAGATGAATGCCATACTAGCTCGCAGGTAAAACAGCTACACAAACAAACACACCTTTTCCTGGGATTAATGGCAAACATTAGAAAAAATACCTGTTCTGTCAGGCATTATGCTAACGTGTCATGTTCCTGGTTCCACTTTACCTGCGGTTAATGTGTATATCAAAAAGGACTTGCATTAAAATATTATCTATGTGTATCTCACAGTTTGCCCATGTACTTATTTTCCCTTCTGATAGACGGAAAGCTTCAGAGAAACCTGATGAAGTAAGTCCTGTGCCCTGAAGAGATGAGATGAAAAGAGTAGTGCCAATCTTTTTTCAGCCCATTAAATATGGAGCTGAAGCCAACGGCCCATTATCTTAGCTTAGCATCAAGACTTGAAGGTAGCGCAAACAGCTAGCCTGGCTCTTTCCAGAGTTAATTATTTAAGAAATCCAACAGTCCACAGTTTCCAAGAAATTGCCACTGTCATCAAAAAAATGTTGTGTTAATGAGGGAGCTTTTTTGAGGTGCTGGTAGACATATTTTGTTACCTGGAGACAGAGCAAGGCTAGCTGCCTCTCCCTATTTGCAGTCTGCTAAGCTTAGATAATTATCTATTAGAGGTGACTTTATATTTAGCAAACAGATATGGCAGGGGTATCATCTAATCTAACCCTCTGTAAGAAAAATGATACATTAATTTCCCAAAATGTTAAACTATTCTTTATATATTTTTGGGAAGAGAGTAAAGCTGATTTTATATTGTTTAGTCACCCTTAATGTCTCTCTTTTCGGCAGGACGACTCTAGTGGTAGAGGGCCAGGTCAACAGAACTCAACAGGTACAAAACAACCCTTCTCACCAGATTACTGAATAACAAAGTGGAGCTTTAGTCCCATAAAACTGCTGTTTTCAGATGTCCTCTGATCTGTTTTATTGTCTACTGTTTTAGTAATAAAAGTTATTTTTCTCCCACCTTTGCCAGATGCTGTGAAGAAGCCATGGGAACGATCCAACTCTGCAGAAAAGTCCTCACTGGTGTCCAGGTCTGTAGATAAAGGAGTAACAGTTGTGAATGTGAAATAGCAACATTTTAGAATTGACCAGTGTGATTTAAGCACAAGTCTTAACCAGTTCATTACAAGTAACAGGAATGAAACAATGATGTACGAAGAGTTGTTGAAACTGTGGTTACTTTTAACAAAACACACTTTTCACATTAATATGTAGTATGTGGTGTTCATGCAGCGTATCCTTTTGTGTTGCAGAGTGAGACCCATCGGCAGCACTAGTGAATCAGACACAGAATTCGACAGGATGAAACAGGTCGGTATCATCAACATGTGTTTTATAGCAGTTAAATAATTGTTATGTGTAACTCATAAGCTGTCTTGTTTTGCAGGACATTTTGGATGAAGTTGTACGCGAGTTGCATAAAGTGAAAGATGAAATCATTAATGGTAAGCCATGCACATTTCTAGAGTTCAGTGCAGTATCCAGGAGCACAAAGCATGTTCAATGTTTCATCTTTTCCACTCCTTAGTTTTTACAACTCAATGGCAGTAAAATACCTACAAAGATCCATGATTGATGTATGAGTGCAATATTGTAGCTGCTGAAATGTTCACTCTGTAAAATGTCTCCCACTCTTGCAGCCATCAGACTAGAAATCGGCAGAATCGGCACATCCTAGTCTCATGTGAGCAGCAGTAGAGGAGAGCGAGAGGAGGAAGAGGAGGAGGAGGGAGGAGGAAGATGGACGGACATGCAGATGCACAGACACGAGGACCCGGGGAATGTTCTCTCAATGTTTCTGTGACCTCGCGACTCCACGATGCAAGTTGCAGAGATGTTGTGCCAACATTTAAGTCTGCTGGACAGCGAAAAATGGAAGAAAGAAACAGAGAAAGGGTTAACGGGTCAGAGGATCAGAAGGATGGATACAGAAAGTTTGAAAGGACTGATGAACTCAAATCGAGGATGAAAAATAAATTAAAAAGATGAATTGAGGGACGGGCGGACAATAGTGCGGAGTCCAGTGTTTTGGTCCTCTCTGTGCACCTAAAGACTCAGTCAGCCCAGTGTTGCAACTCTTTGTTCTCTGTTCAGTCTTAAGAAGAAAATATTTTTGTTTTCTAAGTTTTTACTGTTTTATTATTTAAAAACTGTGGTGATAATGATGATGCTGTCGATGACAATGAGTATTTTATTGATATTATAGAAGGAGAAAGGAATCTTGCACACCATTTACGTCAGCCTTTTATATTTTCTTTTATGTTTTTCTATTTAGTTTATCCCTTACTATTTCATAATTACAAGCACAATATGGGCATAATGGTTCTGCAGATTCACCTGCCCTCGACTGGCATACTTAAAAAAGAAAAAAAAGAAAAGGTTTTTTTGACCTTGTTCATACTGGTTTTCTGTGTCTTATCTTGTCTCTCCAGAGATTTTGGAAACATGTTATTGTTTAAGCCACAATAAGCCACTTTAAATGACCTCGTTCCGTCACATCCGAAGCATACAAAGGAGCAATTGATACATTGGCAATTAATCAAATAACACACAATAACAAGTGTGCTCTACAACTCCAGTGTGACCGAGGTAAACGCTTCTCTCTATTTGTCCAGATGCGAGATCGTTCAAACGTGGGGATCATTCACCAAACAGGCCGATAACTGTAAATGTGCCACCTAGTTTTACCTAGATATAATCAATGTATTAGCCATCCTATGCTTTGTGAACCTCCCAATTATGCATGAAACCCCAACTCTATGAATTCAGTTTTTTATTTGGTTTGGAAAACAACAAAAAATACAAAGGGTGGTACATTTATTGGAGTGGTTTGTTTCCATGAAGATTCCCCTTCCTATATACGAGATGTTGAACTTCATAATGGTAGCAATGTGAAAATAATAAGGAGGGGTTGCTCTTGCGATATGCAAATCTAACCTAGATAAGAATGTGCAGAAAGTGAATAGGCCTATGTGATGGTAGCTAAATGTGTCTTTGAAGGAAGGATTTGGTTGAATATTGGTTGTTGCATTCTATCCACTCTGTCCGCTCTCAACTACGTTCTGATTTAAAAGCTGAAAGTAAATTCATTCAAACAAAAACAATAGATGTGTCAGCCTTTTACGAGTTATCCTGCTCTGTGTTCCCTTGTGTTTTGTGCGGGAAATCCTCATGGTTTAAATCTCTAGGGAATATTTCATTCATCTTTTAATCCAAATGTAATTAAAAGTCACATCTGGTTACCACAAAACATACATGATTGAAAATCAACCTTGGAATCATACATGATCTTGTAGATATTTTACTATTTTTATATATAGTGCAGACATTTTAAATATAAACATCAAAGATCACACTTATCAGTCACACACAATCATTAAATTGTACAAAAGATTAAGTAGACAAAATAACAGAAACACTATAGTTCTAATGCTAATGAAGCTTGAGATGTTTAAATTGGATCAAGTGTTGTTTTGCTGTGATTTATGGAGGACAAGCATCACAAAAAAAGACTTACTGGCAACCTGCTGAGCAAAATGAAATCTCCACCGAGTTAAATCAGCACTCGACAGTTTCAAAATGACCCAAAACAAACGGAGATTCAAACTGTAATGTCCTTTGCATCAAAGCTGTTTCTGTTACTCTGTCCACTTCATAAAGATGTTATCAAACCGTTCACAGTCACTGAAGAAAAGGCTCTTCTTACCCAAAGGTAAGTTTCAATGCCTATTTTCCACCTGAGCACTCTTCTGCATCAATAATGTGAAATTATATATTAGATCATCTGAGAGGCTGCTAGAGCCTTGTTAATTCTCACATATAAAAGAATCAGAGCGCGTACAATAATGCTTGTTGGCAGGGAAAGGAAACAGAGTTAGTGCCATCTCTGTGAAACCTGAGAATGTATGTGACCCTTATCCTATAGAAATTACCATTTTAATATCTTATTCTGCCCTTTTCAGTGCCTTCTGGACGCAAGGAAATGTCATCACAGTTTAATGACATTAAGTTCTTTTAGCCAGAATAGAAGCATTTATAAATAGTGGGGTAAAAAACCTCGATCTGAATTGTCTTCAGATTCCATGCGCTGCACATGTATGCAACAGGAATATTCACAATCACTCACTAAATAGTAACTGAAGCACAGGACTGATTCAGGATGTTTTCATACAGTACAGTGACAACCACACTACACGTGGAAAGAAAACAACAGAATATAATAATATTTTATATTGCTCATAGTCATATATTAAACAACTGAAATTCACATTTCTGTGCAAACTAAGGGAAACATAATGTCACAGATTCATCCCTGCTTGTTTATCTTGTACTGCCGTTTAATTCTGGCGTATGGGCCGATGCTGTCATCAAACACAAAGTCCCATAATACCCGGATCCAGGAAGTGTGTTGAGGCAGGAAGTCGTAATACTCTGCTGCAATTTTCTTGACCTGTCAACAAGAAAAGAAAATTAGTTTTTCATTTAGAAAAATGTCTTTAATTTATAGAAACAAAAATGTCACTGCTTTGTTCAACACGCCTTATACTTTCTTTAAAAAAAGTACCAACAGTTTGGACAATGGAGACACTAATGCACTGCCTTTTAAGTTCAGAAGGACATTTTATTTCTACAAGTGATGTTACTAAAAAATGTATCACTTGAGGGTCATACTTTATTTGGGTAGTGTTCATACATTTATAAAAAATACTCATAATTAAACTAGTTAAAGTAAAAAAAGCTGATAATATGTAGGTTTCTTCATACATTTGAACATATACTTTAATTATTTTAAATATCCAAGGACAAAGCAAAACCGTTGAAAAGTGAAATATCATCCAATGGCTGTCAAATTTAAAGTGTAACCAAATATTATTCCATCTCAAAGAAGATCAAGAACAGCTCATAAACCAAATAATGTTTTGCTTAACCTGTTAACAAAAGCAGAAGTCAGCTGAGCTAAAAGGCAGGTATTTCTCTTTGGATCTCCTCACACTCTGGTGGTGCTTTAGAAGAGCAGTTAATCATTCACAGAGCCCAGCCTTTTTTTTTCTGATAAATATTTGCAGTTGGTAGAAATGGACAATTGCCTGATATCTTTTTGTTTAGATTGTGAAAGAAAGGAGAGGCCAGTTCTATCTGCAAACACCTTGTGAGAAGTATTCTCCACAACCATTTAAAAAAAAATGTTTGAGAGCAGAGTTTACCAGTTGAATAATAATTCATGATTTGAGTCTCACCTGAGGTAGTTTACTGCCAGGTATGCTCGGGAAGTCATGGTGCTCCATGTGATACCCAACATTGAAGGTGATCATGTTCAGTGGTCCATAGTAGGAATATGTCTCGTGTCCCTTCAGGAACATGTAATGCTCAGCTATGAAATGTCCAGAGATAGGATGCAGGCCCATACACAGCACAGAACCTGCGATAAGGTAAACAATAGGCTTCACCCCCCATATATAGTAGATAATGAAGTCTACTATGAGCTGAACAGTTGCATTGAGGATCTCCAGCTGACCTAAGGGCTTAGGGTTGACCAACAGCGGGCGAATAGCGTAGAAGAGGGGCTGGAGGAAGAGCCAGACCACCTTCCTGGCCGGGGTGCAGAAGAACCATCCCTCAATGTCTGTGGGGATGTCAACATCCAGCTGGTCGCCACCAAGATACCGGTGGTGGTCGATGTGGTACTTCTTAAAGGACGCAGAGTAGGGCACCCCGATGGGCAGGTTGGCCCACATGGCAAACCAGCGGTTCCACTTAGCCAGCTTGTTTCCAAACGCCACATTGTGAGAGATGTCGTGGATAGCCAAAGTCAAGGAGTGGTTAATGCAGCCCCCAAAGGCGTAGGCCCAGAAGAAGATCCACTTCCAGGAGAGGTCGTGGACCAGGTAGCAGGCCAGGAGCTGGGTCAGGACCATGCCTGATACCACCCACTTCAGCTGGGGGTCCGGACCCATCAGAGACTTAATCTCTGGATATTTGGCTAAGGAGAGAAAGACAGAGATGAGGTGATTGGATACAATAAAGGAATAGCACAAGCAGATGACAATTAAATGTTTAGGAGAAACAATTAGAAAGTTGAACAGCAGAAGTTAGAACCACACTTTTTTCATTGATTAATGGGAGAATTGAAAGGGGAAAAAGTAACAAATGAATGATATTATTGAAAGTTTATGTTAAAAATAAGTCATAACTCCAGCAGTGAAAAGCAACCTCATTGACCATCATTTCCAAATGCTTTGATCGCAACTTTTCATTGTGTCAAACTGTGACACTATCCCGAAGAACCCAATGGAGCATGTTGTGTTTGCCAACAGTCCTGGCCTCTCCTGGGAAGGGCTTTCCCACAAAACTCGTTTTTTAATTGGACGAGGTGTTATTTTGCTGTGGGACAGAAAAATTAAGGTGATGCAAGGGAGTGGTTCAAAAACATCAACCATTACAACAAAACCTAGGTTTAGTTCATGTGACATTTACAACACAAGAGACTCATAACAGGTTGTGGTGTGTAAACAATTTAGAGACTAAATGCAGAATCGTAAAAGAGGTTAAGGAGCGTTTCATGAGTGAGACGAGATAACCATTACTACTCATGCAAATGTGGCTGGCATCTTTGCGTTTAGCTTACTTTGTGTAAAGCCCCTATGCAAAATAGGGCGTGCCCAGGAAAATAAAAAGGGTTCCAGCTACATTTCTACTGAAATACTGTAGGTTTCCTCTTTACAAACCAAACCCTCTTTATTTTGTTACTGTGTAGCTCATATCAATTCCCTTCCACCCCCTTACATTTAGGTTATCATTTTAAAACCATTTATCAAGAAACAACTCCTACTTTTTGGTCTGATTTGAACTCATGCTGTCATTTGCTCTTGCTATTTATATACTTGTATGGGCTGTATCTTTAAGTCTTTGCATTGTAGCCCACCCAAAGGGCATAAAGTTGAATCAATAACCAGACATCATAAAAGACGCTGTTAAAGGTTACCGCACAAAACTGATCAGATCACATGACTTCAACTTCACCATGTTACAGAGATACAAGTTGTTGTTTCTTGTGTCACAAGATTCAGCTAAAAAACTCTGCTATATGTCAAAGTGACATAAACTGTGCATTTTATGAAGCTATTTATTTTTCATATCTGCTTAAAAAAGATCCCCAGGCAGTGTGAAATGTATTTATCATAACCCTAACTTTAATGGGAGGTGTTGATTATGTGAAGTTTATGACGAGCACGTTGAGTCACAACAGGCTGCAGACCTCTCCAAGAACTAGCCATTCAACACAACATAAAAACCCTTGTCAATCAAATTTTCCACATGAAAATAAAAAAGTAGTGAGGCTTGACAATCTCCGACATCCCTCTGCCTCTCCCATCAGGGTGGGGCAGAGGATATTCAAAAGAAAAATACTTTTTAATAATTAAAAAGCTCAGGGAGTGGTGTCAAACAACCCATTACCTTCTAGATGTGCTTCTTTCACACCTGAGCAACCAAGCAACTGCTGGACAAAGCCAGGATCAGATGTACATCAACACGTTTAGATCTTGTTCATCTAAACTGTTTTGAATCAAATTACAAAACAGATCAGATTATCAATGCTGACCAATCTATAGATTTGTGTAAACTTGAAATGTAAGAAAAACTAGCATAATCAGTCATAATATACACAGTTTAGACAAATTATCCCTTAAAAAATATATAAACAGGCTTGGTTTAAGGTTTAAATGTTACTCTTTCATGAATCCTCCCAGACTCCTTTCTTATCATTTCATAGAATTACATCATTGTTTGTCGTGAGTACGGAATGTGTCCTGTTACCTAGCGAGCCCAGAGGCATTGTCAAGTGCATCTGTTATCAATATGCTCATATTGTCTGCCAAGACAGAGAACATAGGTGATAGCCTTTGGTCACATATTAAAGCAACACACACATCTTCTGGTATTAAATAGTCAAGGGTGAGACTAAAAAATGCCATTCTTCTCCTATCTATCAGAGTACTTACACTTTGACATCATGCCTTTTGCTCTGCCCCTCCTTTGAGTGATATAAGTGTCCCTGCCCCACTCCCTATTTCTGAGATAAAGAGACTTGCTCAAAAAAGTGTCATGGAAATATTTCAAATAATGATGAAGCCTTAAAGTTTGAAGAAAAAAAATGTATTCAAACATTTCTGAAAGTTGTCCTGTATTTTATCTTTACATTGAAGCTCTGCCGTTTTAAAGAGATTTTAAATCATAGTTATTTTTGTGCTGAAAAAAGTTTTGCAACTTTCCTCATCTGAGTGAATGTCTCAGAATCATGTTTATCTTGTTAGTTTTCCAGCATCTAGGTTGGACACATTAAGCAACAGCTAGAAAACAGGTTTAACCGGCTGCAATCTTAGTAAAGAAAAAGTCTGTAGTCGAGGAAAGATAACTGACGCCAGGAATATATCTCAGCAGGACTCACAGGGTCGACACAGCTTTTTATATCCATAATTTCTTACCCAGGATTTCTTTTCTTCTTGAAGTGTGCGGCTGTTCATTGTAGACCCATTCAAAGTCGCCTCTTCCACCTGTCTTCCCCATGACTCTCCTTCCTCTGAGGCAAACTGCTCAGTGGCGTTATGTGTGTCATCAAACCTTCACAGTATCGGGACACACCTCACACAGGCTGCAGGTGTGTATGTAACATCACAAGCCCCTCCCACAAGGGGCGGGGCTTCGGCTGTGCACCCCAACAACTGCATACATTTTAAACTATATATTTGGTTAGATGTTGTGAATGATTACTGTTATTACAAACACGTTTTCAGGATTGGTATATTAAACATTTAAAATAAAAACAGTCCGGACAGCCTGTGCTACAGACAAGACCGCCTTTTTGTATTTAGCTAACTAACACATAGGCCTACATTTGTTTAAGATCAGGATAATTACTTGAAGGCTATATAAGTGATTCCTAATATGGCTCATTATGATATATACCGATCCCACTTTAGCGAGATCAAAATTGTTGGATGTGTATATATTTCCAAAATGGTATTGTCTGTGAGTATAAGAAAAATATATAGTAGGCTAGTATACATGGAGTCTGAAGTTTATTTAAATATTGAGTGCTTCTCAAAGAGCATACAAAACTGAGTAAAATAAACAATTATGTGTAAATAACTTGGCAGTGTTAATCAATGGTTACAATTACAAATAGAAACATTTAATATAAGTTGAAATAAAATGCCGAACAAGACTCAGGTATAACGGTGTGGCCTCATTTTGAGTTGTCAGACATATTGATGCATTATTGTATGTATGGTTATATATGTATTATATAGGTTATTAAAAGTTATGATTAATATGATCATAAGAACGTTTCAATAGTTCCTAAATACAATTGATAACACATACATTTACATTCAAGTCAATAACTTTTATAGGGTTGTAAATGTGCCACTTTTGAACGGGACTGCTTTAATCCAAATCACGCGAGATCTCGAAAGTGGAGCATTGTGGCGACGAGAGTACACTAGTGTAGAGTTGTTTTCGAAGAGGAAGGTGGAAGATTGTGTGTAGTCAGGAGGGGAAAGCGAGTGTATTCAATAGCATAACAGCAGGAGGAAATACAAAATTCACCATGGCTTCGGGGGACACCCTGTACATTGAAGCGGACGGGTCAGATATGCCGGCAGAAATAGTGGAACTGCATGAAATCGAAATAGAGACAATCGAGACCACAGTTGTTGGAGACGACGAAGAGCACCAGCCTATGATCGCCTTACAGCCGCTTGACACGGACGATCCACACTCAATTCACTCGCACCAAGAGGTGATTCTGGTGCAAACAAGAGAGGAGGTGGTGGGCGATGAGGACTCTGAAATGCATGACGATGATGGTTATGAGGACCAAATCCTCATCCCAGTGCCCGACGCTGATGAGGACTATATCGAACAGACTCTGGTTACTGTCGCCGGGAGAAGCTCCTCCACAGGCCGGATGAAAAGGGCTGGAAGTGGAAAGAAAGCGGGCAAAAAGAGCTACCTAAGCGGGGGAGAAATGGGCAGGAAATGGGAACAGAAGCAAGTGCAGATAAAGACTTTGGAGGGGGAGTTTTCAGTGACTATGTGGGCATCGGGTAAGTTCAGAGTCCTGAGTGAAATATTTCTTGTTGGCTCCTTGCTTTGTTCTCAGCCTGTGTGCCGTGTGATTCGGCCCGGCTGGGGCCTTGTCCTCCGCTAAAGTAGGAACTAATTTTCCACTCTGAGCCAGTTTTAAGCCATTCGAAATGTTTTTGTTTTTATGGGAAGCCATGTTTTATGTGTCGATGGGCGCCGCCATATTTCCCCGGACTAGAAAGTATGGCGGCCCGAAAAAATGGCGTTTATTTGGCCGACGAAGATGGCGGCGAGAGTGGGAGCGAGCGCAGCTGGCTCATGAGCTGGCTCCGCGAGGCCGCTGTGGCGCAGTTCAGTTCAACTGTAGCTGTGGTGCCTTCAGGAACCCCTCATACTTTACACATCCGAGGCTTTAATCTCACCATATATGTTCATATGAATCGAGCAAACTTGATCCTGTGTCCAAAAAAAGTCCCCCTGTTTGCTAGTGCTGTTTGTCAGCCATAGAAAGGGCTATTTCATTGAGACGAGCGCTAATGTCACACTATTTACTATTATTTTATAATCTTAGTGGCTATATAAAACGTGTAATTCACACAGTGACCCATTTATAAGAAACACACTGAACATCATTTTTTTAAATAATCGGATAGTTGTCAAATATTTTAAAAGTGTACATGTTTGTAAACATGGCAGTTAAAATGTTCCTAGATAATTTCATCATCATGAGCAAGATGATAGATAGTTTATTAAAGTTAGATGGTTCAACGTGTATAGATATTTGCAGGAGGGTATGTGCATGACAAAATATTAACCTTTTATCACTTAATCAACAGTTTAAAACCTATTTTGTCCACATAGTTTGTTAAAAAGCACAATGTTACATTTGGTGGCTTTATCTCTAGAGCTTGTCTCCGAATAAACAGACCTTCGAGACAAAACCTGTATTTCCTGTCATATGCTTCTGCTAGTAGTAAATAAACAACAGAGAAAGGGACAGGAAATGCTGTGAATTGTGGGGCTGACAAAGGTCGTCTCGATAAATGGCTTTAATCAATTCTTTTCACATGTTCTGGTTCTGTCTTAATTATCAACACCTATGTTCCCCTCCATTCAGATGACAAGAAGGACATAGATCATGAGGAGCAAATCGCGGGGGAAAACTCTCCACCAGATTATTCTGAATACATGACAGGGAAGAAGCTACCCCCTGGAGGCATCCCAGGCATCGACCTCTCAGACCCCAAACAGCTGGCAGAGTTTGCAAGGTAAGGGTTAATGTTGATGTTCACACAGGTGTATCTCAAATTCACTGAGTCATAGTCAAATCAATATATTCAAACTACAGCTTTACTTAAGCCAACCAGAACATTATTTAAATCTGTGATGCTGATTATGTGACAGTGTGACTATGTAGGCTGTTGTATTACACGTGAAAGCTTAACCTGAAGTTATTTATTTTTATTTAAAAGAAAGGGAGCTGTAATAAATTATTGAGTGTATACACAAAGATTTTTTCTTCATGTTAGCATGTCTATATTCATATGTTGCTATTTGTGTGTTCAGTTACTATATGTTGCTGTGTGTATTTTTAATATATGTCTGTGTACGGGCTGTGAAAACAAATATCATTTTGGGAGGAAACGTAAAAAATATTAACTTAGTTGTCTTTATTAATCTGGATAGTTGTGTAATAATATTGAATACCACTTTTAAAATTGCAATTTTTTTCAGAATGAAGCCGAGGAAAGTAAAAGAAGACGATGCACCCAGGACGATAGCCTGTCCACACAAAGTAAGTGCAGTCATCTGTTTATTACCAGTAGATACAGTAGTGTGCAAAAGATGAAGGTTACCTACACACCTCGCTTACTCTACTGTATGTCGTTTATTATTGACATTACATTAGTAAACAGGCCTGGTATGAAGAGCTGACGATACTGTTGCTCTTGCTACACTGTTAAGTTAATATGTCCCGAGTGATTTGCTTCATCTGGTTTCTCTCATGCTCAGGGATGTACCAAGATGTTTAGGGACAACTCGGCGATGAGAAAGCACTTGCATACCCACGGGCCCCGCGTGCATGTCTGCGCAGAGTGTGGCAAAGCCTTCGTGGAGAGTTCAAAACTGAAAAGACATCAACTCGTTCACACAGGAGAAAAACCTTTCCAGGTGAGTTCCTTTTTTACGATACGCTTGTCACCTCATTTTACTTTTCCAGGGAAAGCTCCATAGTTGTAGTTTATCAGGATGAAGAAAGATTTCACTATGTAAACTGTGCCCAACTGGATCTGTGAAAAAGCAAATGATATACAAACCTTGCTGTTGATAATGACAGCTAATCTGTGAGCTCAATCTCTCTCGTCTCCAGTGCACATTCGAGGGCTGTGGCAAGCGGTTCTCTCTGGACTTTAACTTACGCACACATGTGCGTATTCACACTGGAGACCGCCCGTATGTGTGCCCCTTTGATGGCTGCAACAAAAAATTTGCTCAATCAACCAACCTGAAGTCTCACATCCTCACACACGCCAAAGCCAAAAACAACCAGTGAACGGACAGCGGCGCGAGCGAACACTGGAGGACTCGATTCTTCGCTCTTTGGCAAACTAAAGTCCCGTGGCCTGCTTTGTCGTCAGAGATAGAAGTCCCCTTTGTATCTCTAGATGAAAGGTTTAAGAAATGACCTTTTTCTCAGACTTTTTGATGAACTTATGGAGGTTTGATCAAGGAACTTGTGAGAACCCCCCACCCCCCCTCAGGCCTCACCCTACTTTGATGCTACCTGGATGGAACAATTTACGCTTTCTTCTTGTGAAGATGTTAATTCATGGATCTGCACCTGAAAACGTATTTATACCTTAACACAACCAGTTAAAAAAGTTTTTGCAATATATTTGTCAAATTTGCATCAATCCTTAGCAATGACACATTTTCAATTTTGTACTTTCCCCAAGTGTGCATATTGTACACTGTGACATAAGATCTGTGGTAATGTATGTATTAAGATTGTCCCATAGCTCTTCTTGGGTTTCACAGTTTGTTTTATCTCCCGTTCATGTGAGTGTGTTTCAAGGGAGGATTGAGTGATCTCTGCATATTTTCATTTTGTACACAATATCAGAATCATGTAGATAATAGCCATGTGATTTTCAGTAGATCACAGATTAAAATGTTTTTCCCCCTTGCACTACCAACAAAGTGTCATTTGTCCTCTCACAAATAAAACTCAACCTAGTATTATGCAGCCGTTTTGAAAGAGATGTCATTTAGACTAATACAGGATCAAAACATTTGAATAATGAAGCGACTGTCACAACAAATCGGTGTCGGTTCTCATCTTCATATTAACCTCAGGGTTATAAATATTGTTTTGAAGCTCGCTAACAAACAAACTTGTGTCACTAGTATTTTAGCTGTTCAAAACTGTTGATAAAGTAGTAGTTTACATTTCCTTTTTTGGTAACAAGGAGAAACGAAACAAGGAAGTGAAACAGATTCAGTTTTATTTTTCACAGCAGTGCATATACTCAACTCACAATTTCAGGATTAAAACTTAAATTGAACATTTAAAAGTGGCATCCCGCCGCTGGTAAATTGTAACAATGGTTCATACAATCGGAAAATATTAGTAACATTTGAGATTGCACCGGGCCATCAGGTGTTCAGTCATAACAATCATATTTGTGTGTCCTGTTCAGAGACAGAATCTAGGATGTTTGTCAGTTTTGCCATACAAAAAAATTATTCAGCAATTATCAGATTTGTATTTTGCAATCGATGTCCATTTCATTTCCATTTGCACTGGCTTGTGTTACATTTCAAAGAACGCAGTGTCAATATCCTCCTTTACACCCAGAACATTCAACTCACATTTCCAAGTAAAGGCAGTCTCTCACATTAAATTCATCATCTGATTTGAAGATTTACATGCTTTAAAGATTAAAACAAGTGCAACAATGCTGGTGGGTAGAACTGCTGAATCACTTTTAACCCACACATTACAGTGCATTTGGTTTGGTCATTGCTGCAGAGCTAATGGAAACAACCCAAAATTAAAATAAAGTTTAAAAAGTGGTCCTGGAAATCTTTAACACACTATGTTCCCGTTTCATTTCTTTTTAAAATTGCATGCAAATATAGTTGTTTTTGTCATAGACTAAATTATTTGTACCTAGCTCATCCCTGCAGAGTGGTATTGTACTAAGTCTTACTACACCCCCAACCTGGACCCTATTGTAGTCTCAGTATCCTGATCAGATACAATTATTGCATCCGGTATATAGATTCTTAATTGATATTTAGCACTTTAAAAAAATAAAATCCTATTCACAAAAGCCCTGTTTGTAAATTTAGGAGGTAAACTGGTGTGAGCCTTTAAATGTTCCTTATGCAAAGGAACCGGTTTCCCCACAATTCCCATTGCTGTTCATCTAGCTGCTTGGATTTAAAAAGGCAAAGAGTAATCTGGGTCAGTGAACAGAAAGAAGCCATTTGCATTGTAATATAAAAAATCCCAAATCCCAATCCCTGACGTTACATTTTGAGGAAACAGTTTCAAGCCGTTTGAAGAAAATAAGATGTGTACTGAATTAAGAGTACCTTTTTAAATGGATAGGTGAGGATGACTGATAAAATTGTTTCCTGAAGGCTGGAATATTGCAGTGTTGACTTCATATGAACTCAACAAAACAAGAGGCGTTGGTCTAAAGCATAGTTTCCCCTCCATGTCAGCGTCCTGCCTGTAGATGTGTGTATAATACCTGCTCCCAGAGCAGACGTCTCCCTGATGGTTTCTCTCATGGCGGTGGGTTTTCACTCAGCTAGCAGCGCAGCCAGCAGCTCAGGGTAGTTGGGCGTCCCCCAGCCCGTCACAGGGTCCCACGATGGGGCCGCACAGAAGCCTTTTCCCTGCACCTGTTCGTCCAGACAGCTCAGGTGACAGCCTTCAGTCACCTGCAGAGCGATCAGGAAATGCCATGAGTACAAAAGGGGTAAGGGTTTCACTATTCTTTTATTTTTACACAATTCCTTAATGAATGTACAACTCTACTACTTCAATGTTACAATAGCAGTCACCTAAAATCTATCAATTATCTTGTTTTTTTTTCATACTAAATGTGACACTATACTGCAAAATTAGTTATTTTTTCGGGAAATAAGGGTTTACATATTACAGTTCCACTTTGAAAAACTTTAAAAATGTCTTCAGGAGGCTTTATTTAGAACACCTGCACTATCTGAATGAAATCCAATATGACTGTTCTGCCAAATAACTGTGACCTTTTCTTTTATGAATCCTATAATTATTGTTGCCACTGTCATTGAGGTCATAGAGAATGTGTTTTATTGTGTTTCCAATATGCTACTTATGTCAATTAAATGAGTCACTTTTGATAATGTAGTTCAACACTACATTTAACTATGACATGAGCATCATTGTAAGTAAATCAACACATCTCCGACATTGTCAACAAAAATGTAAAAATATTAATTCGATGAAAGGATAGATGGCGGAGCTGTGGTATTTAACTAAAATAGATTGCAGATACATGTGTACCAAAAGTGGCCCTTAGGTGTAAGTGTGATCTTGAATTGGAACTGCCAACTAATTTTACAACATTAACAACTTGACTTACATCAAACATAGCGTTTCCTTTGAGCTTGTAGAGGCGAGGGTTGAGGAAGCCGAGGACAGGAAGACCCTGCAGCAGCCGCTGGTCGTTGATGAGAGACAGCATGCCCCCGACCACAGGGGTAGACGCCTGGAAAACAGGGCAAGCAATAAGAAATAAAGTGAGAAATAAATACTAAAATAAAAAATGAACGCTTCTTTAACAGCGACATTAAAAACGTGCTTGAGTGTTTGATTTAATTATATTTCTTTTTCAGCTTGTATATTTTTTGTAAAACTGCATTTCTCTGCTTTTTAAATCGACCAGTTATCTCATTTATTAACAATGTTCTATTCAATAACACCTGGTATTCCAAGTTTGACATATCTTACCGAGGTCCCAGACACCCAGGGGACAGGCACTTTGTTGATGACCACCCAGTAGTTATCGGAGAGGGCGGCCAGGTCCGGATAGGCCCTGCCGCTGATGTTGAAATATGCCTGAGGAGGGAGCGTTGCTGCTACAGTCTTCAGGTACCCATCCACCGCACTGGCCTGCAGGAACACACGTTCATATAATTCATGACAGTCTGTAATAACTGAGCATTGCCACAGCTGAGGACCTGATATTATTACCTGGTAGTCGGGCATCTTGAAGACATTGCTGAAGCCTCCTCCACTGATGTAATCTGTTACTTCATACGTGACCTTAAATGGGTTTTTGAATGAAGTTCCTCCTACTGTAGTGACGTATGGGCTGAAACAAGAAGAATGACAGGGTTAGTGCTCTGCAAGTCATTTCTGATGGCTTTTGGATTGACGTATGCACTTCTGAATCCACCTTAGAGTGCAAGCTAAATTCTTTATTCATTAAAATGGAAAATCTTTATGTCTTTGTAGAGTCCTACAACACTAATAAAGTGCTTTGTGAGGAAAAGCCTTTAGAAGTCCTATGCTAGTATCAAACAGAAACGACTTTATTTCAAATGTTTTACCTTGATGCGGGAAAGCTTGGCCTGAAGGAGTTCTCTTTACCCAAATGTCTGCAGCCTGCACCACTGTCACCTGAACATAACAAGATCGACACGATAAAGATTGTGGAAGGTAAGCGTGTTAAACAAGATCAGTGAGTGTAAAAGTGATGCAAGTATCATGACTCATGTCTTCCTGAGATCTGGCAGCATTTCCAGCTTTGTTGTAAAATGTGGAAAAAGCTATGAGCAAAAAGTAAACCTGTTTTCCTGTTTCCTGGAGCCAACATGTCATCTGCGTTTATTTAAAACAATAAAAGCTGTATTCATGTTTCAAGTGAGCCAAAAAAAGCTAAAATAATTTGATACGAAGACCAAACAAGATGATTTAGAAACTTAAGCACAAACTTAAGCACAAACAATAGAGGTCTCAGTCAATGCATATAGAAGGAGAGACAAATATGTGACTTTTGGAGTCACATGTTAAAAAGATAACAGGCTGAACTGTCCACAGACAAGTTGGCTCTCTATCAGACATTTTTTGCTGACATAGTATGAATGTAAATGTTTGTTGATTTAATTTAGTGTCTCCGTTTGCATGTGGAAGTTGTTTTCACACTTCCTCCTTACTGACCAGAAGCAAAGAGCAGAGAGATTCCCCTGACGCCAGCCTTCATAAACTCTGTGTTGATGCGCATCATGTACGCAGTAGACAGGCTGTCTTCATCGTCTCCGTAGCTGATTGTGTGAACCCAGGGCAGGTCAGACATGTTGCTGAGCAAAAACATCCACTGGAGGAAAGGCTCCTGGGACTCGTGCCGACCTGTCGATTTAAAATCAATGTCAACTGAAAGTCAATATAACCTTAGACTTGTAAGTTCTCCGTTCAGTTCACCACACTACAGACCTGGATTGGTGAAGACCCATGTGGAGATGTTAGCCCCTGTGCTCATGATGTACTCTACATCCAGACTGGCCTCAATCCCAGCCTTTCCTTCTCCCTGAGTGCCAACCACCCGGTCCACCTGAGAGAGATGCTGGAAGCTCCTGCCGTACATCCCCATGAACTCTGCCAGGTCTGCAGGGCTGTAGTACTGCTCCAGGAACTAAAGACAGAACAGCTAGCTAAAGTGAGAAAGTACACCAAGTTGTGGTGAGATTATAGTGTCTGAGCTACTGTCTAACAGCAACACAACACACATATTTAGGTTTATAAACGTATTCACACCTGAGCTACAGCCTGGCTGTTGTTCTGAGCTGTTCCCACATCAGCTGCTGTGAGGTTATAGCGGGCCCTCAAGATGGCAGGAGTCACCCCCAGGTGCACCCCTGCCTCAGACTGCTTCATCTCTCTGTGAGACGAGGCTTGGCTGAGGTCCTGCCCTTTAGGAGGGAGGCGGTGAAGCCCTCCAACTGTAGAAACAAGCAAAAACAAATGTAAGTGCAGTTCCCATGTCAATATATTTAGCAATCACAGATGACAGCTGAACTTTTAAAAATGTAAATGGTTTTCACCAAAGTCCAGGTGCTCGTGAACATCATCATGGACAGAGTACGGAGCTGAAGACCTGACCACAGAGTGGCCGTCCCTGGTGTAACG